CAAATTTTTAATGGGCAAAGTCGAGAAAACAAGCTTGCAAGAGACCATTAATGGCCTCGTCTTCTACCGTCGGTACGTGGACGAAATCTTCTGCCTGACGGATGGTACCACCGATACCGAGGAGCTTGTCCAAAAGTTCAAAAGTGCGCACCCCTCGCTAAAGTTTACTGCAGAGACCGAGGCAGATAACGAACTTGCCTTTCTCGATGTCCTTCTGCACAGGCAATAGGATGGGTCTATCCAGCGCAGGGTGTTCCGAAAGAAAACCTGGACGGGACAATATGTTAATTTCCACAGTTTTGTCCCCCTTAACATCAAACGGAATTTAGTCCAGGGATTGGCGGCTAGAGTGAGACGCATCTGCTCACCTGAAGCTATTGAAGAAGAACTTCAACAGCTGCGGAACACGCTTCGGGAGAACGGATACCCAGATAGATTCATCCTCCGAAATATTGGGGAACGCGTTGAAAAGCCCACTGTTGAGACTGCGGAAAATAATGATGTATTCATAAGATTACCTTTTAGAGGAGACGCAGAGAGCGAACTACTCCGACGGCGCTTAACGACAGCTATAACGAGGGCATTCCCTGCGGCGAATTTACGCTTATGCTTCACAAACTCTCCCCTCCTACGTTTGGGAGGTAAAGACAGACTACCGTTGGAGGCCACATCAATGTGCATTTATTCATTCACTTGCTCCTATGGATACATCGGCCGCACAACGAGACGCCTGGTAAAGAGGGTGCGTGAACATTTGCCCGCCTGGCTAGACAGAGGTGAGACCCGGTCGATTTCGAGTTCTATTCTCGCGCATTTAATCGATACGAAGCACCAAGTCGATGCCAAGAAAGCATTTCAGGTTGTCTACCGGACACCAACATGCCTCCCTAAAGGCCTACGCCAACGGATACTAGCAACGGCAGAGGCAGTAGCTATACGGTTAGTGAATCCGGTGTTATGCTGTCAGAAAACTCTGACACAAGCGCTTTCGCTGCCGTGGCCAACGCCAACGCCAACCCAAGTGATGAAGCCATGCCGCCTAAAATCCCTAATCACGATGATGGGTACTCCGTGTACTCAACCCAAGATCATTACTCAAAGACTCTCTTACCCCCCTCCCCTAGCCCTGACGACTAACACCCACCGACCTTCTCATGCGGGCGGCGTGGGGATGATGAGTGTTAGTGACTTAATAGCCCTTGAGGCATCTATAAACACTGTTGATTTTGTACATTTTCATTCGTTCATGTAATTGTATTGGCCTGAGGAAGAATTACCGAAAACCTGCATTCGCCAACTTGACTTTTCAATTAAAGTTGTCTTCAACTCTAATCCTATTTTACATATGCCTCGTCTCGACCGACGAATACCAGCCGTCCTATCCTACAATGCAAAGAAGCACTAGGGCCAGGCTGGGCCGGTGTGACTTTGGAAATATTTGACTGTGGATGCTGTTATACCTGCATCCTCAGAAAATTGAAAAAAGGCCTGAGAATTATGGCCATACGCATCGCCACAATACCCAAGCGCTGTTACCTGGATGCCTCATACTAACATTTTATTACGGTTACGTGAACACTACGAATCTTTAAGAAACATTTGCTTAGCAAATGTATGAAACTTGAAGGAAAGCCTTAATGCCACTCTTTAATGACGCTGCGGCCTACATCAGCTTCCAGTTACAAGTTCATTACGTCCTTAAACGTGTGCATGTATCAATTTGTTATTCTAAGACGCATCTAACTTTCCTACCTGTTTACATACTTTCGCTGGGTGTTACGAATAGATTCAAAAGTATACAACACACTTCCTTCAAATAAACTGAAATGGACTGGAAAATGTCTACCTATTAGCTATTTTGCTAAGTGGATTCATAAACTATTTCAAGTGTATTTCTGTATCACCATCAGTTTGATAGAAAAGCCACAACCCCAAGCAAATAGATGAGAGAAGCTCCGAAAGAATTTCAGTGCTCGGATGATATTCGTTATCCAATCAAAACAATCCGTCGGCAGAACTCAACGGGAAAACAAGTAATGCTGTTGTATAAATCAATTTCAGGCTAAAGCATTGACCTGTTTGAATAAACATTTAAATTGGGAAGTATTGAGAAACTGTGTTCTCCTGTTTTTGGCACTAAGCATAAAGTCAGTTTTCTAGGTTACATTTAGATTTCAGCCTCAAATTTCATTATTGTGTTGTCATTTGCATCAATGCCACATCTGCGTTTACGCATGCTAACCGCACTCACTTTGGTTTTAACTTTGTGTAAAATGCTCACTTTGCTAACATAGAACCGGACCTATATTTATTGATCAGACATCACATTAAAGGTGTGCCCGATTTGCCGACGTCACTCCTGTGGTTATCATGGTTTAGCGCCACAAATCGCAAGGTGACAAGTGACACACGTGGGTTACTCTGGGACATATTTGAAAGATTGAACCAGGACTGCAATAGTTCACACTTGTGCGAGATAGATCAGGGAAAACACACATATTTTGAAAAGCGTTGGTTCAATACATTCACCAAGGATGGGGTGGCGACTAACCAGACCATTTGATCCACTGAATTTTAAATCCCCAGAACTGTTCTCTGGAAGGCGCATAAGTTCAGGAACCTTCGATTTAAGTATTCTATCCGATGAAAAGTAAGACCGACAGAAATAAAAGTAAGTCCACCATTTTTCGTCGTCTAAATGTTCTATTACTTTCACTCAATAAAACAGGATATTCTCGTTTTCTTCGAATTTACAGTTGTTCAGCCGGATGCTTTTTTAAGATCATTTCGGGCACTAATTGATACTCCTCGGTGTTCAGTGTCCGTAAAATGTTACTAATGAAGGATTCGGAAATAGACGGAAAGAGCAAGTATCCACCCGTAGAGATCTTACAACTATAAGGGCTTTAGGAGATACAGAATACCCGTCTAAGATCCGGTGATTATAGAAGGAAGAGGGGAATATCCACTCACTGCCTCTTAAGTTGCTTTATCAAGTCTGGGTCAAGCAATAGTTTTCAGCGGTCAATTTGCCTATGCGTAAAATTGTCTGTGCAAGCAATTAGCCAGTTAAGACATCAGACGAGAGAAAGCCCAGCAAGTTTTCTTCAAGCTCCAAAATCACGCGTTGGGCTCACTTTCTCTAAACGAGTGCAGGCATTAATATGGACATTGGTGTATTGTACACGCAGACCTCAAGTTAAAAAGTCAGTCAGTAAACGTCGCTCAAGATTGAAGATCTGCACCATTGCCTAATCTTTTCCAACATATCTCGGTTATGCTGAACGACCTGCCGACTCACTGTGGTTTACCTCAGCACACAATCAGCGAGATAAGCTTAAGCATCGAAGCAAACAAGAAATATAGAAGCGCGCTCAGTAATTCGAGAGCAAAGGTAAAACATCCTTAAGCTATGCTGTATATTGAGATAAACGTTCGCAATATGTTATTGTAGAAACATATTCAACCAACGAACTCAAATTTGGTCCACCTAGTTGCAGACACTCAATGGGTGATGCCATTGACGAATATACCAAAAATATATAATTTGTTATGGTAACTGAAATCGCATTATTTTTTCATTGACGCAAAAACCTTTAAACAAAATGATATTACCCACTAGGACAAGGGAGACTGGAATGGCCACTTCTGGCTTAATAGCCGTCGTCAGCCAGTCATACCCAACCCCGAAATATGGCACACCCAAGACTCGAACTCGCGACCTGTTTTGTGAGAATTCCACGCCTCTTACCACTGAGACACGAGCCTGTTGGACCGTCGGTTATCGATCGGGAATATACAATGGAAGGGGGCGCTCATCGATCGTTCTTACGGAACTCACTCGTTGCGTTGTGCCTTATGGACTCTCTCGCGAGCCCAGCCAGCAGCCACACAGCGGCGCATGATATAGGCAAAATGATATTACCTACAAAGACAAGGGAGACTGGGATGACCATTTCTGGCTTATCCGTCGTCGTCAGCCAGTTATACCGTACCCCGAAGTGTGGCACACCCGAGGCTGGAACTCGCTACCTGTTTTGTTAGAAGTCCACGGCTCTGGCCACTGAACCACGAGCCCGTTGCCCTGTCGGTTTTCGATCGGGAATGTAAAATGGTAGGGGGCCCTCACCGATCGCTCTTACGGAACTCACTCGTTTCGTCTGGATTTGTCTTCATCTGCAACGGTATTTTACATACGTATCGTCCCAACTAGTGAAAACCAGCCGTCCTATCCTACGATGTAAAGGAATACTAGGGCCAGGTTGGGCTGATGTAACGTTGGAATGCTTTGACTGTGGAGGTTGATATACATGCATCCCCAGAAAATTGAAAAAGAAGCTGGACAGATATTGAAATTCACATCGCAATGATACCAAGCCGCTTTAACCCCGATTCCAGACCACCACGAATCTTTAAGAAACGTTTCCTTACCGAATCTGTTAAGGTATGAAACCCGGAGCACAGTCCTACTGTCACTCGTCATGACACTGTTGAATACGTCAGCTTCCAATAACAGCTTCATTACGTCCTTAAATTTGTACATATATCAATTTGGTATTATTTGAAGCCCTCAACGTTTCCAATTGTTGACGTACGTTCGCTTGGTAATGCAGAGAGTTGGTCCAAGCAAATACACCTACATCTTCAAATAAGCTGAACTGAACCGGAAAACACTCCTATTTTCTGGTTTGGATAAGTGGATATATGAACTATTTCAGGTATATTTCTTTATAACTCTGTAGTTTGGTGGACCAGCCACGACCACAAGCAAGTGCACTAGAGTGGCTCCGTAAGCATGGATGTTATTCGACATTTAATCAAAATAATTAGTGGGCTGTAAACAACGACAAAACAAACAAAACTGATGTATAAAGCAGTTGCAGGCTAAATCAAGGACCTGCTTGAATAAAAATTTCAATTAGGGGACATGTAGTAGTGAAGCAGGAGTGAAGCAGGGATGTGTCCTGGTGCACACCCTCTTCAATCTTGTGTTCACTGCCATGCTGATAACCGCCTACCGTGATGCACGTACGGGGATCCGCATCGCCTACGGGACGGACGACCCCCTCCTCAATCAACAGCGGATGCACTTCCAATCGCGCGTATCCACAACCACAGTTCACGAACTTCTCTTCGCCGTCGACTGTGCCCCCAGCACCATCTCGGAAGAGGACATGCAAGGGAGCACGTACCTCTTCTCTACCGCCTACGAGAACTTCTGTCTGGTCACTAACACGAGAAGACGGTGGTCACGCGTCAATCGCCACCCAGCACAGTCCGTCCCAACAGCGTGCTGCAGATCAACATGAGGGGAACCCAACTGGAAGTGGTGGAGACCTTGCCGTATCTACGCAGTACCTTTATCCCAGCACGAAAATTCACGACGTAGCGGCACGCCGGATTTCGACAGGCAGTCAGGGCTCGGCTGTCTTCAAAACACAGTCTGGTATCGTCACGGTCTCCAGCTTAGCACGAAGCTGACGACGTAAAAGGCCGTCATCCTCTCGACAATTGTGCATGGAGCAGAGCCTCAGACGACGCACACGAAACAGGCACGCTGACTCAACCACTTTCACCTCAGTTGTCCTCGCCGCTTTCCGAAGTTGACTGGCAGGACCGAATCCAGGACACTGATGTACTAAAACGAATAGCAATCCTCAGCCCTCACGCCATGCTGAGACAACTGCAACTGCAATAAAAGGGCCATTTTGTGCGGTTGGGCGAAGAGTGGCTACCAAAACGACTCTTCTATGGAGGCGTCGCCATGGGTCTCCACGGCCAAGGAGGCCAAATTCGGCGATAAATGGATACTCACGAGTCCTCCTTGAAGCGCCAGCAAATCAGTCCGGCAAATTGGAAAGACATCTCCCGAAACAGATCGAGCTGGAGAAGGACAGTGAAGACGGGTGCTGCGATCTACGAAGTCAACCGCATCGCCGCCGCGAAAGCCAAACGCGAAGCACATAAGTCTCAGATGCGCCCATCACGGACTACGAACGCACAACCGTCCCCAACGTGTCCACGGTGCAAATAAAATTTCAGGTGCCAACTGGACTTGTTAGACACCTTTGGATCAACTGCAGCAAAACGGGTGCACCAACCTTGAAGAAGGAGACACGATCGCGGGGACAAGAGCTTTATTAGCCTGACGTTTCGGATTCCTACTCGAATCCATCATCATGGACAAAAGAGCAGAAACGGGTGGTTGCTGCACAAGGGGCTGCGGTATTTATAGGATGCAGTGGCCATGCTACTGCTCCCCCCTTAATCCGGGATCGTCGCACTTGGTGTGATCACTGCTTGATGGCCGACATTCGAGTCGATAATTGCTGCATTTAATCACGTGCGTTGGATGATGGCGTGATGACTGCTCGACCATCTGACGCACCGACCCCGGTGTTGGGAAAACGTGTTCACCTCTTCGCTCCCCGGAATCAACTGTTGACATTCCAAGAACATCTCAACGCCGTCTTCCCGGACATACAATTTACGATGGAGGAGGAAGAGAGCAACCAGCTGGCCTTCCTGGATGTCCTCGTATACCGCAAAGATTGTGGTAAACTAAAAACCAAAGTGTTTAGGAAAGCGACAAATAAGATTCAAGTACTGAACTTCAACAGTGACCACCCAATCAGCCACAAACGCAGTTGAGTAAGGACGCTCTATCGGCTTTTCGAAACGCACTGCAATGAGCCGAAATATAAGATTGCCAAACAACAATAAATCAGACGGGTCTTCAAAGCCTATGGCTACCCGCGCAACTTCGTCAACCGGTCCATACGTAAAAGGGACGAAAGGCCTGACCGCACGGACACCAAATCTTTGCGGGTGCTTCCGTATGTCAAGAACGTTTCGGGAGCTGTCAGCCGCCTTCTAGCATCACTTATGGTTAGAGTTGCACACAGACAGGATGCAACCATCAGGCGTCAGTTAATAAAACCGAAAGACCCGTTGCCATGGCTAGAAACGTCCGGAGTCGTTTATCGGATCCTGTGCAGTTGCGGACGAAGCAACTATGTCGGAGAAATCGGACGACAGCTCCAAGCGAAAATGGCCGAACACGCGGCAGCGGTGCGCAGAAATGAAGCCAGCTCTCAAAATGCGGCTCATTTGACGAGATCAGGCCACACATTCAAAGTTGACGAGGCCGAAATTCTCGCAAGAGGTGGCAGCCGCGTCAACCGGGAGCTATTTGAAGCAATGGTTTACTGCCCCCCAGTCCATTAACGAGTGCAATGACCTTCCCCTTCCTTCCTCGGCGCTTAGACTTTGCTTTTGCGGAGTACTTGACCTCGCGGAGAGCGCACAGGTGACCACTTTTCCCAACACCGTGGTCGGTGCGCCAGATGGTTGACCAATTATCTCACCAACATCCAACATACTTGATGACATTGCATCAATGAACCACGCGAATGCTGGCCATCAAACAGTCAGCACACCAAGTCAACGATCCCTGCAGACGGGGGGAGCCGTTAATGTTCATAGGTATGCGGTAGCACGGCGACTGCATCCTATAAATATTGCAGACCCTTGTGCATGAACCACCCGTATCTGCATTTGTCTGAGATGATGGGTTCGAGCAGAAATCCGAAAGGTCAGGCTAAAAAATACGTCCCATCTATCGTGTCTCCTTCGTCAAGGCTATTGATTGGCTGCAGTATGGTGGCATCATGGAGAATAAAACGGTGATAGTTGTTCATCATCCCCAAGAAGCGGCGTAGTTGATTGATGGCTGTTGGAACGGAGAATGTTGATGTGGCCAAAATGTTCTCTGAACTGGCTTTATCCCATCAGAATTCACTTCGTGACCCAGGCAGATTTGACTGGAAACTCCAAACTCCCATTTTGCAGCATGTATTACAACGCCGAAGGAGTCGAGCCGTTCGAAGAGTTGTCGATTAATGAATCGCTGAAAAGTTTGGATGGCGTTTCTTAGTCACAAGGGCATATAAGTGAATTTGAATAACCCAAAGGGAGTGGTCACTGCAGGTTTGGTCACATCACTGGCCTCGAATGGGATTTGGTGGTAGGCACGAACAAGGTCAATCTTGGAGAATATCCGCTTACCATGCAGCGAAAGAGTGATGTCTTGGATGTGCGGGACGGGACAGTGGTTTAACGCCCAATAGTCACCACACGTTAGCCAGCCGCCGCTCTTCTTTGGGACACGATAAAGGGGTGATGCCCAGTAGCTGTCGGACTTTCGGATGATGCCGAGCTCAAGCATGTGTTCGAACTATGCCTTGGCAATCTTCAAACGTTCCGGGGCAAGACGACATGGTCGGCAAGATTTGGGAGGTCCGGTGGTGGAAATGTGGTTGGTGACTGTGTGTTTGATGTCCACTTCTCGAAATGGTGGGTTGGTCAGGCCGGGGAGCTGCCCGAAGAGTGAGCAGAAAGGACAGTCAGATACAGGCATAACAGTGAGAGGGTTGACGCAGGGGCTCGCATCGGATTGACAACGGGCATGAAGTTTGGTGATGCAGTCGACGAGTCGGCGACTCCTCAAATATACTAGAAGATTGAAGTGAGCTAGGACGTCGGCACCTATGAGGGCGACGAAATTGTCGGCAATAATGAAAACCAGTCGGACAATCCGACGAAGTCTCACATCAAGTGTGATGGAGCGCCGTGCAAAGGTGGGGATGCTGGAGTTGTTGGCAGCTGTTAGACAAAAAGTGCTGCGGGTTTTGCGTTCGGCCGCAGTTGGTGGAACCACGCTAACCTCGGCACCAGATTCGCCAAATAATTTGGCGCCAACGATACGGTCCCAGCGAAACGGACGGTGAGTGTGAAGATTTGCAACGCTTCCAGCTGCAGTGGCCTCTGCTGTCGGGTGGGATCGTCTCCCTGAGACCGTTAGAAATACATTGTAAGAGCCTGGCTGAAGACATTGTCGAGCTGTTCCTCCAAATTGTTGTGATACCAGCAGGCGCTACTTGGACATAGTGTACGGCAGGTGTGGAAAACGGAAGAAGTACGCCAACGGTGTGGTTTTCGTCACGGGCCGCTAGTGGTAACTGCAATGAGGCTGTCTTTCAGGCGCATCAATATCTCCTCGAGCCGATCCGAGCGTACGTAAGCTCCTTGAGATTTGGGGTTGATGAGTGACTTCTGGTCTTGGAGCATCCCGCTGTAGGTCGCCGGAAGATTGTTGCTGTGGAGGAAATGTTTGCGGTATTCCAGTGTTGAAGAAGAGGACACGATCGCCGGGACAAGAGCTTTATTAGCCTGACGTTTTGGATTCCTACTCGAATCCATCATCAGAGACAAAAGAGCAGAAACGGGTGGTTGTTGCACAAGGGGCTGCGGTATTTATAGGATGCAGTAGCCATGCTACCGCATACCTATGAACGTTCACGGCTCCCCCCTTAATCCGGGATTGTCGCACTTGGTGTGATTATTGCTTGATGGCCGACATTCGCGTCGATAACTGCTGCAATTTCATCACGTGCGTTGGATGTTGGCGTGATGATTGCTCGACCATCTGACGCATCGACCCCGGTGTTGGGAAGAGTGTTCACCTCTGTGCTGCCCGCATGGCTTGTAACCCCGCCTAAGCGAAGTTTCAGTACGGAGTATGGAATGGGAAGATCGTTGCACTTGTTGATGGACTGGGGGCCAGTAAACCATGATTCCAGTAGCTCCCGGCTCACTCGGTTGTCACCTCTTGCGAGAATGTCGGCCTCATCGAATTTGAATGTGTGGCCGGATCTCGTTGAATGAGCTGCAACTTGAGAGCTGGCGTCATTTCGGCGCACCGCTGCTGCGTGTTCGGCCATTCGCGTTCGAAGCTGTCCCGGCGATCGTGTCTCCTTCTTCAAGATTACTTCCTGGGTCTCGGCTCTTTGCTGCTATTGGCAAGGTATTCCAGTGTTTTAAAATTCGGGGTCACCAATTTGTGGCGGTAAGGGATTTGAGATCAACATAAACCACGCACAATAAGTTCGTTTCGTAGAATATCATAAATAATAGTGCTGTGAGGACTAGTTTATTCTGTACACAGGGCAGGTTGCCATAAGTTGGCGGTTTGCTTGTGACAGAGATAAGCGTCCGTTCACGGAGAGCGTCAGTTGCGGTGTGTTGTTTACGCGGGAGGAGTGCCTGGGTCAGCAGGAGGGGTTTGATGGCTTACTGTTTGTCGTATGATTGGACAAATTAAAGGAGAAATAGGGGGCGCATGCTCAAAAGGTCTCAAGCCAGAGGGTTCAGCGAGCGTGAGGTGATTAAAGTTTTTGAGGTTAGCCATGATTTACTGCTGTTGGATGGGAGGTGTCCAAGTGCTAGCCGGCGGGGGTGACCGTGTGTCAACAGCTGTCACAGCCATCGTTAGACGCAACGGCGCCGGAGTAAGAAAGGGGACAGGACCGGCTGCTGTAGGCCTATTCACAATAAGAAGAAAAGCGTCTTTGACCTGGGCTCTACTCGACTTCGCGGACTGTGCTGGTTCTTAAAAAAATACCTCATGTGTAGCAGCAAATTTGGTCAGCTTGGGATTCGCGGTGCTGACTCTATTAATGTTTTATGTATTATTTTGATATAAAGTGTCATGCTGAAGATAACGCACGAACGGTAGAAGACATCGGACTACCAAAGACGATCAACGGACTCTTATACGCATGCAGTGGTCAGCCTTGACTGCAAGAGTTGTTGACAAGAGGAACATGGTACGAAGGTGACCAGAGAGTGCTTTATCGTCTGAAATCATGAGATAGTAGTGGATAGAATAACAAAGCGTGGAATTGGCGAATCGGTGAATATGTGAGCAGAAAAGTAAGTTCTTTGTTTCATGTTTCCGATATAGTTACCACTTTTCGAAATATACGCTGTAAAGCTTCTAGTGAGCTAATGTTGGAACCAGACCCTACTATTCTAGTGAAGTTTACACAAACCTTACACCTAGTTTAACATTATAAATTCAGGTGGATGTGACGTGGGCGTTAATAGCAATAATATTGTGAAGTTTTACCCTCCTGCACCTCGTCGGGAATGCTTATTCAAACTAATCAATAATCTGACAAAAAATTCTTTTAATATGGCGGCTATACTTGCCTTTCAATAGACACTGCCCATAGATAATTCTATAATGCCAACGATCATGCAACATGTTAACTTTGTTGTTTGTTTACATTCTACCGAAACCACCACTTCCTCTCAGACTACATAAAGTTTTTCTTAACATTTCGATCAGATGAGGACATGTTTGCAGATTTAACATCTCATAGCCCTTTAGGCGCTGAAAATGCGCTTAATAATAATTTCACAATATACTGAGATTGAACGTCTTAATGGACAAATAATCAACGTCATCATTTGTGTATTCTTTTCATGTACCCACAAATGACGCTCCTTCGATTGATATTTTTCTCAGTAACAGCACAATCAATGCAATTTTTGAAAAAAATCATCTAATCCTGAACCTATTGCGGAACACTAAATATCAATGCGATAGGCGATTAAAAAGCACTTCGTTTAGGTTTAAATTGATTGAAGAATAATCGCTGGTTAAAAGTATGAAGCGATCTGTTTAACACAAGCAACACTGTGCAGTACAGCTCAATGGTATCGGCTCGGTGCTGGTCATTATAAAGAATTTGTATGACTGAGAATTTAGCTTTGGATAAAATCCGTCTCATGATTGAGTACGAAGTTTGCGCTGATCTTGCTGTATTGTGTCAGCGCCTGTCCGATAATATCTGGCGGGTTACCAATTTTACTTATGCGTTATCCCCATCAATGCTTTGTCACTTAGACGTATATGCTTAGCGTCATTGCATAACGGAAGGCAGCCGACTGTGTAATTAGTGTCATAACGCAGCAAACGCGAAAAAAACACTGGTCTTAGGCACCCAAAATGTTGAATAAATGTAGATTTGCTTTATATTGCTTGGCAGAAAAGTTTTTCCCAAAGCTTGGCACAAGTTGGTTACACATCGGCTTTAAACATTTTACCTGCTGCCCATAGTATTTAAAAGAAACGCACATTTCACTCGAAACGGTTCAGTCGTAAGTGATGTTTTTACAACTTGTGATTTAAGGGGAAATATTCTGAAAATATGTGTCAACGTATTTTCTAGATTTCATGGATTTCCCTCGCGCTATATTCCTTTAAGTAAATAAAAAACTGGTTAATGTCATAAACCAAAACATATGCAACATACATAATTCAGAGGAGTAGGGTGGGTGTGCGAGTAAAATGCCCGGTCAATAACGTTGTCCTCAATAAATTTGCAAACACCATAAATGGAGAGCAGTATTTTTTGAGCATAATGGACAAATTACAGTACAGGAGCAGCTTCAGAAACCATTTAGGCGGAGGAGGAGGATGGCAGTGGGGGTTCAGGAATTCGGTCGGGGTTGAGTGTCCTCGTAGGGTTCGGTGGGGTTAAAAACGTGTGCCGTCGTTCTGGTGCTACAGTTATATCTTGAGGATGTCACCGTGTTCGGACACAGTGCCTAACAACTTAACGAGAATCTTACTTCATTACTCTCTGCTTTGCGTTATGTCGACCTATGCTTAAGCCCATAGTATTAGAACTTTTTGTGTTTTTTACAGTCACTTTCCTCGGGCAAGAATTCGACCAGCAAAGCCTACATGATCACCGGAGGAAGAAGAAATTGTCAAATCATGGTTCACGCCCAAACGCTCACGGAAGTCAAAGTCTTCCTCTACCGGCCTCCTTCTACCTCATTTTCATCATCCATCTCACGGAGGTAGCAAAGTCTCCAACACCGTCCGTCAGAGAAAGAGGGCCGTTCACCTTGTTCATCGATTATTAGTATGCCTTGTACGAGTTAAAGTCCAGAATTGTCGTGGAAACCATATTGATGTTGTCGATCAGAAGAGCTGGCATTCCGTCCTTTCGTTTATATGGTGACACAAGTGGGTTTTCATCTGAGTTCGAGCTTTCATAAGCCGAAGAAACAGGCGTTGAGCGCCTTATTTGCTTTGTGGCCAAATCATTACCCAAAACTGTCTGTAAATATTAAACTTACTGTCGGCGGCTGTCAGCCCTCACCGTTCACTTTTGGCTGTCATTTCAACTGTCGAAAAGAGATGCAGAGGGTGCAGAATATGTCGAAATGGAGCTGAAAGCTAACTAACGAGATGACAGAAGGTTCTACACGAATCATTTTACCCGCAAGTAGCGGCTAGACCACAAACACCTCCACGCTGACGCCTTTTTTCGCCGACCACATAACTCACGTACAGTCAACACTGACTGGGCGGTTAACAATTCAGTCCTTTTCACGATTAGTAATGTCCATTATGTGCACGACAAACAGCGTAAGAGTGCCGACCGTCACTTTCGCGTAAATTACTCCATGATGTTAGCTGACTTTTGCTGCATCAATCTCACCTTCTTTTTGCCCATCGACCGAGCTCGTTCTTATGAAATATTAAAGAGGACCACAAAATAGAGAGGACGTACGGCATTTGAAGGAGAAAAACCGTCGTTTAGGCGTACCAACGTACCTCTTACTTCTTTCAAGGTCTTAATTTAACCAAATAGAGGGTAAGAGGTCGGAAAATCCCCGAAAATTTACCAAAGCAACGATGAGATGACTGGTGCTTTAGCGATTTCATGTGGTTGTCAGCCGTGAAATGATCAAGGGATTTTTACCTGTGGTGTGGCATGATTAAAGGTAGATCCAGTAGCATACACCCGCACCTGAATCAGCATTGAACACGTTTGGTTGCTACCAGATGACCCAAAATTACCAAAATCAATGTAAGCGTAAACGCACGGATTAGTCTGCAGATTCCAGCAGTCAGGACAACACTTGAGTCGTATAGGTCATCCGCTGTACATCGTCTGTCTGACCGACATTTTCAAACGACTCCATAGGACACAGCAGTGGACTGGCTCACTTAGCAGCCTGTCTGAATGACTGACAGGCCTGATCCATCACACACTTAGTCTGCCGGTTGTCTTCAATTTTAAGAAGGTCCGATAACAGTTCAATTGATGAAACGACATAAAAAATTCGCTTCCCACTACAAATTTGTTTGCATGGTCAAGTAAGCCACCGTCTGACGTTGGGAATATGGCTTCTCGAATTAAGCAGACATTTTCTGTACTATGGCCATGGTAGGTTTTTTCGACGCAAATACATTTTTTGTTATTCCTCTGGTCCGCGAATACGTGGAATATCACATTAAGGCCGTCGACAGCAAAGGGTACCTGATATTTTCGATATCTTACACGATGCGTATTTTACTGGATTATCAAGCCACTTCAAGAAAATGTCCTTTTGTGCAGAAAATGTGTCCAAGCAAATGTCCCTGAATTTGGGCCATAATGGACGCTGCAATGAACTCGGAAAATTGCCTGTAGTATTGTCTGCCTTTGACTTCGACCGTAACTCTGCCAAAATGTTTATTCGACCAGACAGTAATTTACTTCCGCGAGGTCTACTAAAACGCACATGCTGTACTTTGGAGCTGGCTATCCGCGATTTTATCCATAGGAAACTTTTTCATTATATGAAGTGTTTTTTTAGTAAACAAAGATTTTCGCTGACTTTGAACGCGAGATTAGCAAAAAATGGACGATGTTTTGCTTGTATTGCGGGCATGCGATATATTTGAGATTTGAAGTGTTAACGTAAATGACGTACGCATATATACATAAGATGCCCTGTCTTATAAATAATTCACTTAAACCCTGAACTATTTCTTGGCTTGTGAAGATAACATGGAACGAACTGTAATACTTATATTCCTGCAAGGCCTTTCCAGTGCGCTATGGAACGGGATTTTCTACGGGCTTCTTTCCAG